ATGAGCTACTTAGTATAAGTAGACGTATGAAAAGCATCTTGGAGTATTTCAAAGGCTGAGGGATGAGATTCCTAGCGATATTCTCAGCAAGGCTTTTCAGTTGTTTTTTTTTTTTTATTATTTTTTTTTTACTTTGTCTGCCGCAGAAAGTCAAGAAATGGCTTAAAGTACCATCAAAACACAGGTGTCACTAAGAACTGACAGGGTTTTCCTTTGTATAAGATATCATATAGTGATTAGTTTTGAGTATTAATAGCTCTGGTTCCAGGATCATGAAACAGACTTAGACTCAAGTCAAATTTTCAATCGCCTGTAAAATCTTTATCAATTATTGAATTACTCTTTAAAGCAGATAAAAACACTTTTGTGAAGCAATACTGAAAAATATTTTAATTTTGGTTTGCTTGACTTCTACAACATTTTAGTACAACATGAAGATTTTGACTTAAGCTTAAGATGCTTCATGATCCCGGGGCAATGTTCATCTCTGTGACAGGTGTAAAGACATGTACAGAGTTAAGAACAAGCAAGCAAGCAATGGTTTGGGATGGCATAAAAATCGTTTGGTCAGCTAAAATGTGAGAGATATATATGCCGTTGACATTTTTAGCTCACCTCAATGAAGTTGGGGGAGCTAATGTAATGCCCTCGGCGTCGGCGTCCTAGGTTAAAAGTTTTTGGAACAGATTCCTTTTCAAGGCTTCTTCTTCTGGGTCTTACATTAATCAGAGATACATGGATGCTTCTAGTATATTTCTTTGTACCAGTCAAGGTTTCTGATGCTGCAATTTCAGCTAAAGAACGTTAACAACTTTTTTTTGGACGTTATTTTTTTTCAAGGGGGTAGAGGGGACAGTAAATGAAAATTCCACCAGAGAAACTTGATGACAAGCTAAAAATCGATCGTTCTTTTATTTTCCAAACATGAAAATCTTATTTCGGGGCGGGAGGGGGGGGGGGGGTCATTCCCTTCAATTCTTAAACTTCGTATGGTTTTTCCTACCAACCTATAAAGTTAACTCTTTAACAGGAGTCCAAGGTCATTCTCATTTTTTACTTACTTTACTCTAGATTTGTACATAAATAACTCCGCAAATATTGCGGCAAAGGGAACTGGACCCCCTCCCTGACTTCCATCTTCACCCATGATGTGGACGTGGAGTAAATAAGAAATGGAGTTTTTGAGCGCGATAAATTTTTGAAAAGCCTACTTGTTTTTACGATGAGTTAAAAAATAAGTTGTTTTTTTTTTTAAATATAGATAATAACCAAATCTAAAAAAGATACATGTAACTGTGCTTTTGTGGAAAAATACCTTTTTTCGAAAAAAAAATATGCTTGGAATTTTTTTTAAAATGACATTTTTAATAGGTTTCTTTTCAGTGAATGACATAAAATGTATATCGTTTAGTCGATTTACGATACCTCATACTCAAAATACAACAATCAAATGTATATAAATGCAGGACTGTCAAACTTAGAGAGATGGTGTAAAAATGAATCCCTAATAAGGCAATCTTTTATGAAGAAATTTATCTAAATAATTTACTTGAATACTGCATGTCAGCTATCTCCCCGAGTGCGTGTACCCCCCCCCCCCCCAACCACCCTGTTTACGCTCCCCCAAATCTTCATAGTTTGTGAAATTAAATTATGCACCGTTTGTATTAAGAAGACTTCTTAGAACCATAATTCTTCTTAAGGAATGGCTAAATCGTTTTCAAATTAGTAAAATCGCTTTATTTTATGTTTACGCCCGAACTTACGCCTACCCATGAGTAGACGTAAAATTTTGGTCTAACTTTAGTCCGGTGTAAAGATACGCTATTTAATGAAACGCAAATCTTTGTGCTAGTCCCGACTTTACGCCGGCGTAGGGCTACGACTGGGCGTACGACCTTTGATGAAACGGGCCCCTGGATCTGGCCTACATTTTCCAGATGAGTGACCAGGTTAAAGATTTTGGAGCAGTGTTGCAACCACTATTGAAATAAACGCCCACTATTGAAATAATTATTTCAATAGTGGTTGAGAGTGCATTTCAAAACCAAAGAAGGTTGTAACCACTATTGAAATGATTATTTCAATACTGGTTGAGAGTGCATTTCAAAACCAAACACAGGTTGTAACCACTATTGAAATAACGTCCACTATTGAAATAATTATTTCAAGAATGGTTGAAAGTGCATTTCAAAACCAAACACAGGTTGCAACCACTAATGCAATAACATACACTATTGAAACAGTAATTTCAATAGAGGTATTGAATGCAAAAATCACGCAAAAAATTGAAAAATCATTTCATTAGTGACCGTTTTTTCAATAGTAGTTGCATTGAAACTACCCTATCGAAATAATATCTACTATTAAAATGATTTTCAATAGTGGTTGCAACAATGCACCTACTATTGAAATAACGATCACTACTAAAATAATTATTTAAATAGTGGATATTATTTCAATAGTGGTTTTATGCGTGTAACCACTATTAAAATAACAACCTCTAATGTTATAACACTTATACTTAGTTTTCCCAAATAGCTGATTTTATGTATTGACGAGTAGAATCGTTGGATGTACTACCCATATTAGTAATGTGTGCAAGCCCATGAATATACGCGAGAATTTACTTCTATTCTATATCCTTTTGATTAAGAATAACCATATTTTTATCAGAAAGTTTGTACACATATGAGATATCACATAGATGTCTTCTTTCTTCTTTTTAATGTAGATATTCTAATTTTCAAAACTATTTGTATCTATAACCTTTAACTTTCCCTGATTGATAAGAAAGATGAACCATATATAACAAAATTACTTAAAATTAAAAGATCAGTTAAACCTCAGATGTCCGTGTATTAATAGTATTTCTAAACAGGAAATAAAACATAAAATTACATATTATTTTTTAAATTCAATAAATCAATTTATTATGTTGGAAAACATAATGAAGAATTTATCCTTATATTTTTTTTCCAATAGAAGGGTTATTTCAATGAGGCTTGCAATGTGGTTTTTTATATTGAAATCATTGTAAGCAACTATTGAAATAATTATTTTAATCACTATTGAAATCATTATTTCAATCACTATTGAAATCATTATTTCAATCACTATTGAAATCTTTATTTCAATAGTGAACATTATTTCAATAGTGGTTGCAACTTGGTTTAGGTTTTGAAATGCATTCAAAACCTCTATTGAAATCATTGTTTCAATAGTGAATGTTATTCCATTAGTGGTTGCAACCTGTGTTTGGTTTTGAAATGCACTTTCAACCACTATTGAAATAATTATTTCAATAGTGAACGTTATTTCAAGAGTGGTTGCAACCTGTGTTGGGTTTTGAAATGCACTTTCAACCACTATTGAAATGATTATTTCAATAGTGGTCGTTATTTAAAGAGTGGTTTTAACCTGTGTTGGGTTTTGAAATGCACTCTCAACCACTATTGAAATAATTATTTCAATAGTGGTCGTTATTTCAATAGTGGTTGCAACAGAGCAGGTTCATTCTAAAGTAACTATTTGCCCTACCCGGACCAAACTTGCTTGGATGAAACTTCTTTTAGATTCACACTACCAGGGTTGCAACGGATGCTGAATTTGACCTACATTTTCCAGATGAGCGACCATGTTAAGGTTTTTGAAGCAGTTTCCTTCTAAAGTGACTATAAGCCCTATGCTAACCAACTTTGCATTGAAAATACATTTATTGTAGCACACTACCAGGGTTGCTTTGGATGCGGGAATTGACCTACATTTTCTAGATGAATTAAAGTATTTGAAGCAGGTCCATTACCAAGAAAAGTCAATATAGTAAATCAAGGGTTGATCTATTTTGAATTGACGTAGAAATCTACGACCCCCTCCTTCTCCTTTCAATTCACACTACAAAGACCAATCATTATGAAATAAAGACCAGTGTTCAAATGGTTCTCGAAATTGAGGCTGTTATTCAATTTTGATGCAGCCCTGTATTTTACGCCATCGTGACAAAAAAAAATCAATGTTTGAATGTCAAAAATTTCCTGCATGCAAGATAATTTATGAATTTCAAGTACATGTTCGATATGAACTACAAGTGAAGAGGAGGAAGCACTCCATTGGAACTTCGACCTCATATCTTCCTTATCCATTCTGTTTACCTTAGTGGACTGTCATATTTCATATCGTATTATTTCCTCTTTCAACATTGGTGTAAGTACAAATATTTTCTATCTGATATAGATATCTTTTCACCTATAATTAATTTGTTTTTAAATTTACGCTATAATTTTTATTTTCGCGGTTCTAATAAGTGTTTACAATACTAGAATGGATAATGTAGACATTGTTTACATATCTAAAGGAAATACGTGTTCGAGTCTTTCTTTTATTGAAGCAGTTGTGCATAATTATTCAATATGTGTAGTTCACAAGTATAGTATCGGACACGTAGCATCGGGGGGGGGGGGCAATTTTTTCAAAACATAGCTTTTTATTGAAAATGTTCATTGAAAGGCCGATTACCCCCCTCCCCACACTTTCTGTTGCAGTGTAGTCAAATAAGGGTAATAGTGGTAGTGTATGAAAAGAAATTGGTACTGAAAGAAGTGGAACGTAACCCCCCCCCCCCCCCCACACACACACACACACACACACGAAATGGAATTTTCGAGTTTGGACTATTTTCCCTTTTTTTTCTTTGGCTTGATAAGTTTTTCAGGTAAGTTGAATTTTTTTCTCTATGGCTGCCCCCCCCCCCCCCAATTTCAAAAACGATGCTACGTCCCTGAGTATTGTTTATCTGCAATCATATTTTTTTTTATTTTTAATGCATGAAAAATGTCATGCAACTTTTCATTTATCTAATATTAGCTTACGGCAAGTTTAATCTTATTAGATTACAGCGGTAGCTGAAATATCAACAGTCAATCGCTGTCCGTGTAATCTTTTCTCGAGAGGGGGAGGAAAATCATCCCAAAAGCGCCATAATAGTTGCATTGTTGGCTGCACATTTATCGACTCAACATTTTCAAGGTAAGTGCACATCAGATAATATTTTTTTGTGCGTAACAGAGAGGATGCAAAATGAATTCAAACAGGATATGTAGGAATTTAAAGGTGCATAGAGTTATTTTACAGCGACAGATTGATTTCTATTATACTGAGTAATCGCTTTGCTGCACATCTAACTTCCCTCTGAATTTTACGGAAGCGTATTAGTGCCACGTTAATTGTTTTGAAGTTGGCAATTCCAACTTTACAGTTAGCTTTTCCAACTTTTAAAGTTAGAATTCCAACTTTAAAGTTGGTAATTTCAACTTTAATCTTGGCTTTTCCAACTTTAGAGCTGGAAATTCCAACTTTAATTTTGGCTTTTCCAGCTTTGAATTTTGTAATTCCAACTTTAAAATTGGCTTTTCCAACTTTAAAGTCGGTAATTCCAACTTAAAAGTTGGTGATTCCAACTTTAATCTTGGCTTTTCCGTTTTTGTACGACTTTATGCGTTTTATTCAGATACTTTGTAGCTGGACTCGCGTTGCCGTTTTATACATGCAATTGCAATGGAAAGAAACGATTTAATTATGAAATTATGACGAAAGAAGGAACTATTTTATTGTGTTTTCATATACAGAATTGAAAGATTTAGTTCTGTTGTATGTGTAGCATGTCATTTAGTGTTGATTCATCCTACATGTATATATCAAACATCTAATAAATTAAATGGTCTCATTAATTTTGTTTAAGGTTCGCTCCTGAGCTTTTGAGCAGATTTTTATCTTAACCTAGATTTCAAAAAATCTGCATAATGTTTTAATTCTTACAATAAATTTGGATTCTACAATGCCAATTCAACTATATTCAGTTAAAACTCCATGATTAAATTCCAGACCAAAAGCATTAAGTGAGGAACTATATTTTGTGGCGGAAGGTTTTTCTGAGAAGAAAATGATCATTTTTTCTCTTTATAAGTATTTAAAGTATGTTAAATTTGGATTTCTATTTTTACATGCAGTCTGCACACGGAGTTATTTTGTGCAGTGAACTGTTTTATACTGGTCCTAAATTATATATTAAATAAACTGTCATAAATTCTATCATCATATTTGATAAATATAGCAAATATATTGTGAAAATCAAGAAAAAATAGCCATAATCTAAGCTTAAAATTAGCACTTTTTTAGTAATATCTAAATATTAACATCACAGACCCCCGCTTTTAATTTTCTTTTCTGAATATTTAATATACTTTTAACCATTCTTCTTAAATTCAGTAAAATGTCACTACTTTCAAATGATTTTTTTGCTCGTTAAATTTTTAATGCCAGAAAAATGATTTTTTTTTTTTTTTTTGAGTGCAAAAAGGTCAAATAATTGAGCATGCAGAGTAATTTGTACATTTTTTCGTTGTCGCAAATTTTAATGTGTCTGTTCAAGATGAAATAAGACCGTGTCTGTTCCCATAATTTATTTGAATAAAAAATATTGGAGGAAAAACTTTAAAAATTGATTTATGTATAAGACGTTTTTACAGTGCAAAAAGGTCAAAATAAATGCTCTGTAGCACCAAAACAAGCTCATTGACCCGCATTTTTTGTTTTGATTTTTAATTAAGCTATGTTTATAAATTCTAAAAATATACTTGATAAAATAAATCTCATTACTTTTGATGACAGGATCCAACCTCCTTAAGCTTATTCTCTCATACAAAACAAAATTTTATGTCTGATCTCTTAAATAGGTTTGGTTGAAATCCTGTCATTTATGGAGTTGTATGAAGTTTTTTCTCTATATAATTATATAAGATGGACCAAAAGATATATAAGGGGTTTTAATTAAAAGTTGGCAGTTATATGTAAGGTCATGGGGAAGGTTAAGGTAAAAAAAAAATAATTGACACAGATCAATTGCCCACCAATCAATTTCAGTGTATTAATTTTGCATTAATAAAATTGGCACTAAATTAAAAATAAAGGAAAAAGGAAAAGCCAACTTTAAAGTTGGAAAAGCCAAGATTAAAGTTGGAATTACAAACTTTAAAGTTGGTTTTTTATGTTGTTTAACGTTCCTCTCGAGAATTTTTCACTCATATGGAGACGCCACCACTTGCCGGTGGAGAACTGCAAATTTTGTTCTATACTCGGCACTTACGGCCATTGAGCAGTGAGGGATCTTTTTCGTGCCAGCACCTACTGCGACACGGGACCTCGGTTTATACGGTCTCATCCGAAGGACCGGTCTCCACGTCCCACAGTAGGATTCGAACTCGCGATGTAAGGATCAACTCCTTACTCCGCGACTCTAGAGCAGACGCTCTAACCACTGCGCCACGCGGGCGACAAAATTGGAATTACCAACTTTAAAGTTGGAAAAGCCAAGAGCTAAGTTGGAATTACCAACTTTTAATATATTACGTGGCACTAATACGCTTCCGTAGAATTTACCTATTTTTGCATTAAAACACTACTGCGCACTAGCTCACAACGCTGATAACACGCTGGGGTAAGTTAAAAGCATGGGATAAAAATTGAACTTGAATCTACAGTACATGTGTTTATTTGCATAAATTTGACTGACTCTTTTTCTTCAACTTATTTGAGCAAACAATGTGAAGTAGTATCAAACATGTTTGTTAAAATTTCAGAATGGCAGTTTGGGTAACAACCACCGGATCAAACATACCAGAGGGAGCAATAAGGGGTGGATATGAAGCAGATGGGAGACCTCTTTTCATTGCCCGGGCACAAATTGAGGGTATCATGACGCCTGGAAAATGTGGATTTCATATTCCTGGAGCTCATATTCCATATGGCATGAAAGAACAAATCATCAATCAGTATGAGGTGTTGGTTCATCCCTCGAGAAATCCTGGCTTTTTAGATTGGCAGAGGGCATCTCATGGACACGTGCCACCAAACGCTTACAGGACGGACCATGAAACCTATGTTGGGAGAGCTTTCTACCAAGGGAGTTTAGTGCCAGGGAAAATTGCTACTGCCCACCCTCACAAGTGTGCATACATAGGCTATGGAGGGAACGAAATCAGTATTAAGGATTATGAGGTCCTTTGTCAGATAAAGTAAAACCTGAACAAATTTGAAATCTTTCCATTAAGTGACAGCGGCTAAAATGAATATCAAAGCCTTTTAAAGTGCAATGAATTAATATTCATATGTTATAAAAAGGACCAGTTTTTACGATTCCGTATTTTATAAATAACACTATTAAAAGCTCTGTATATCAACAGATCAGAAAGAATAAAGATTTAATATCTACAGTATGTTTAATTGTCTACCACTCACCACTGATAGGTATCTGTTGTGAATTGGAAATGGATCTTACTCAGGCAGTGATAGTGTCATTCATTTTCAATCTCTGAACAGCAAAACAGATATTTTATATATATATATATATATATATATATATATATATATATATATATATATATATATATATATATATATATATATATATATATATATATATATATATATATATATATATATATATATATATATATATAATTTGAAATAAAATTTGCAGAGAAGGCACGGAGTTAAAGATATATAAGATATATATATATATATATATATATATATATATATATATATATATATATATATATATATATATATATATATATATATATATATATATATATAAGCATTGAATTATAATTATTTTTTGAAAGACGTCTCATAACTGAAAGGGTGTTTGCAAACATATTGAGTAACATGCTTTAACATACATACCTGGTTTTGAAAATAATAAATATATCACTATATTTGTGCAGTTAGAGTCCTGAAAAATGCAAACTTCTTGTAAAGAAATGCATGGATCTTGTTTCATATGACAATCATAGCATGTAACAGAGAATCAATTAGCTTCCGTAACATTTGTTTTAAATTGCTCAAAAACCTTGCAGTCCTGATAATGAACTGGAACTTATCTTAGAGTGACAGTAAAACCTAATATGATCGATTGTAGTTTCGATTTAGATAAATAATAGCAAATTGAATTAGACAAAAACAGTTGTCTCACTAAGAAATTAACTTCCATAACGGTGATTAAAGAACGTTTTTGCATTATCAATTTGGAAGCGAAATACTTCATACATTTTGTACTTTTGAATATATACATTTGTGGTATCTCTCTATTATATAAACATACAGAGAGCAAATATCTTCATACCTGTATGAAGTTTTTCGAAGGTCATAGGTCATTACGTGACCTAATCACACAGCGCAGTAATATCTACATATAAAGACTCTACTTAACATGTTTTCATGTGTAAAAATGTACAAAATACGCAAGTAAAATAATAATCATTTTATTTACAATGTAAACAAGTATTTAATACAGTTCTTGATCGATTTTACATAGAGAATAGAAAACTACGTGTTATAAGTTTCATGTCTGAGCTGCATAGTCTAAAAGTTTACCCTTATTTTTCTTGTAGACCTCTGAATGCTATAATTTTTTTTCATTAAACTTTACTCACAATAAATTTGAAAATCTATTGGAAAATATAATGTAATGCAAACACGCCACAAACTGCTGACAAACACTGCACTTCGGAAGTTCGGTTGGCACACCTCCATCATCGAGATCGTTTTCTTAACAATATAAGTTGTCGCCAGTGTCTCCGTGTCGACATCATAATAAATATGCCTTACTGAAATCGTAGATTTTAGTTAACTGATCCGGACAAGTGTCTCCATCCATCCCTTTCCGACCGAAATTCCTCCAACTTTTTTTAATCCAACATCGGGTGTGTTTCGTGTGGGGTTTTTTAAAATCGAATATGGGATCTCATAAATACAAAAATCCCCAGTCACTAAATGCTCACGAGTAGCCTTTCACAGAATATTCCCTTCAAAACAGAATCCTTTGCCAGAGGAATTTGAAGCGTAACCTCTTTTCAAGCCAATTTACACCTTGCGTAATTTGTCAAAATCTACGACGAACAGTTAGTGCAATATTTATATTCGGTTATATTCAATTTACCGTCTCAAATGTATATATACATGTAAGTAATAAAAAACAAGTTTAAAAACTTCACTGGGAAATGAAGTGGATCGGTACGTGATCAAATCTTCTGACAGGGTTTGATCACGTGACCGACCCGCTTCATTTCCCAGAGAAGTTTTTTAACTTGTTATTTATTTCTTAATTAACATCTTAAAACAAACTTTAATTACATCTATTGCCTGGAACGTCACTTTTTTTCAGCTGAAAATTAACTTCCGTAATAATTAACTTCCGTAAAAATATTTTCCCAGAAATTTTTACTTGATATCAGATTTGTCCCAGACTTTAAAAATATTTGAGGATCTTTCCATTCGATAATAAATCAATCGGTATAGGGAATACCACTGTAAAATCACATTTACTTAGAATCAAATTTTGGGTATTTGAAAAAAAAAACATTAATTCATTAGGATTTAATTTTATTATTGATTGACAAATTGTGTTTATACTCACTTTTGAAGTTTTAATATTTTGTGGAGGACGTCAATTCATGTGTCTCTTCATACCCAGTAAACAACAAAATCAAATAAATAAATAAACTCCCACGATAATGAGTGATTTCACAGCAATAAAATTCATCAAAAAGTCTATTGCTGTACAATAAAAAAATCATTTACCACGACCCATTTTAGATGAATAAGTATACCGAGAGGAAGATGTTAGGTGCTGCAAATGAAATTCCTTTATGAAATGTACACAACGTTCAGGAGGCAAGGCGGTTTTTCATTTAAGAGGACCCTTTTGTCATATCAATTAGATTAAATCATAATTCTCCTAGAGTAACTTAACCCTATAGCTTTATTTACTTTTAAGATTTGGCTCTATTTTATGTATAAACTGGTTTAATAAAGAGTGATAGAGGGTCCGCGACATTCTTTTCATACTCCAGTGGCGACAATAACGCTTTGTAGTTCGAGGTTATGAAAGCTGTTGAGATTTCAAGGTGCTGTGGTAGTTTCAAAGAGCTCCTTATTCTCAATCCTTATCACGCCTTAGGGTTGGCCTCACTGTGGAATACCGAGGGTGAAATTATTTCAGTATCACATAGAAAACTAGTATATGAAATAAGAATCCTTCCTACGACATTTGGAAAAATCATTTGATAGTATATCCCAAACATAAATGAACTATTATACTTAACTATTGTTTACTATCGTTAACGAAAGAAAACACTTTGGTACTTTGATTAACTATGAAAATTTATAACTGTTTTGAGATTTCGAAGCTTAAAATTTCTGAAATTCAATACAGATGATGTAAAACTTGAAAATAATATGTGAATTTTTAAGTAAAATTTAGAATTAATATCAGAAAGAGGCGCGTAGGAATTGAAGAAGGATTTTTTTTTTTTTTTTAAATTGAAAATACTAGTAGTGATGGTTTGCTTGTGGTAATCAATATTAATACCAATGTTGTAGTTTACGCAGAAGTGAAGTTGAAAAAAATATTTTAGATTGAATTTCGAATTTTCTGCATGCAAAATAATTTCTGAGCTACAAGCGAAAAGTTTTTAAGAAGCCAAGTGGTAAAGATGAAGACGGAATTTCAAATTCTGTTCTTCCTTTTTCATTGCTTTTCAGTAGTACATGTATCCTGTAATATTTATATCAACACTCTCTTCAGTGTAGCAGTGCCTACTTTTAGTAAGTACCAGTATTTTTTTTTTCTCATTGCAATATCTTTTCACCCATCTCATTCTAATTTGTCGTTCAATCATTGTAATTTTTAGATTTTTCTTGGCGCATATTTTAAAATTTAGCAAATGCCTGAGGGGACGTAAATTTCTATTGACAAACTAGCAACTTAATTTGATAAACTTTATGCCTTCAACTTTTCTATAGTTCAGCTTTCCTTATTTATTCATAGTATTGACTATATCAATTTTTTGTTTATCGAGAAATGATTTTTTTTTAAAAAAAAAAAAGAAAAAAAAGAAAAAAGAAAGAAAGAAACGCACACTTTATGAAAGCCGAAGGCTTCCTGAAAAAACTGTTCAATTTGTTTTTTAGATTCATTTCTTGACGAAAAAAATAATTTATAAAGTCACTTATAATTCATTTTCAGTGACAAACATAATTTTGCAAGAACATGCTCATTAACTCGAAAAATTGCGCACGAAATTTTCATGCGAAGAAATTAAAAAAAAAGAAAAGAAAAAGAAAACAGGATTCTCTGGAACGGATCCAATTTATAGTTTGATTATCCATGTTTTTTTTTAATTTGGGGGGGGGGGTTACGCAACATAAATTTGATCATGTTTATATCACTTTGTGTCAACAATCAAGTGTAAAATTTTCCAAGACCAAAAACAACATCTCCCCCATCAGAGGCTCATTCACTTTGTCTGAATTCTGCCTAAATGTGATTTTTTTAAATTATTATTTTTGTTTAATTAAGAATTTATTCTCTCCTCCTCACTAAAATATTAATAGCATTGATGGAGAAAATTCAGATGTACTGTGCAAAAATATATTCGAGAATGGGTACGTATTAATCAGAGGTGGATGCTTAAAAATTCCAAGAACTTTTGGAAAATTTGAAATCACAAAATTTTACCAAAATCAGTAATATAAAGACCTATGCCTTTTCAACTCTATATACAACTATTCCCCGCGAGAAATTAAAATCCAGATTTTTGACAACATTGACAGCTGCTTTTTCAATAAAAATGGAACTCGTAATTTACTTACCTTGTCATTAGTCATTTGCAAAATTATTTTGTTAAAAACATTCTGATTGTACACACAAGTACTCTGAAGTTAATATTAAAAAGATGCTTAAGTTTCTGATCAATCATTAGATATGTGCTTATTGGAGACCAGGTCTTCCAACACTCTGTTTGAATTCCCATAGGTACCAATTGCAAATCTTATACATGAGAAAAAGAAATTTCTTGTAGTGGCCTTCAACTCGACATTTATCGACGACGTCTTGTTAATTAACAATTATAGTTATTTCCATTCATTTGTCGAAACGATATATCCCAGAGAGCTTGAAATAAAAGATGCCACAGAGTCTGACACATATGTTTCATATTTAGATATTTTACTAGAAAAAGACTTTAATGGTAACCTAACAACAAAGCTTTACGATAAATGTGATGACTTCAATTTTTCAATCGTCTTCCCTTACTTATGAAACATATGGAGATAACGAACAGTATTCAAGCTCAAAAGTCCATTAAACAATACAAAATAGGAGCAGAGCAAACACGGACCTCCAAAACATCAGATGAGGGATCAGGTG